GTTTGTATTTGTAGAACTACTTAGTAGTAAAGTGTTTGTGTTTACTTTCTGCATTGAACTGTTGTAATTTACTTTGGTGTACCGAAAGGAGTGAAATCACTTTTAAAAGTGTAGTGTTGGTCGTATTTGCTGTATATTACATTGAAAAGAGAAAAGTGAGTAACAACGATTAGTCGTGTAGGTATTATAAATGTGGGTCGCATTTGTAAAGTGCAGAAAACTAATTATTAGTGATATACAAAGACCTTCCTTTCTTAAATATAACAGATGTACAATAAAAATATTCTTCGCTATGTTATAAATACTGTTAAGCACTTATGTGATTGATGATAATAATATTATAGTTTCCCGCCATTTTTATTGTAGGTAATTTATTTAAAGTAAGGTAAATTTAATAAACAACATGCGCCTTTTGTTGTATTTGTTCGTTTGCTAAAAAATCAATTAAATAAAACCACAATAGATATTTTCAAGTAATTGGGAATTCTCATGGTAACAATATAACATGCAGTGAGTCATATAGAATTTGATATAGGTATAAGAACCACATGCCTTCCTAATATACGAGGTAAGCGCCAATAATTCCCGGCCTGACAATGAAGGAGGCAAAGTACAAGTTTTTATTATTTTTCAATGTAATCTTCTTTAACCTCAATGCACTTCTTACAACGTTTAACAATTCAATCCCTTTAAAAAAATATTCTTTCGGTTTATCCTCAAAATGGGCCAAAACAGCTTCTTGTAACTCAAAAAATCGTCCCGAAAACGTCGCCCGCCAAAGTCCTTTTTCAAATAACTAAACAAATAATAATCGCTGGGAGCCATATCTGGACTATAAGGAGGGTGATCTATATTTTGAAACCCGCAATCTAGGATGGCAGCTTGTGTAACGCCAGCAGTATGAACGGGCGCATTGTCGTGCAACAACCGCACGCCTCTGGTTAATTTTTTTCAACGTTTTTCCCGAATACATTCCCGCAACTTATGAAGTAATGCGGCATAATATGTGCCATTAACGGTGGTACTTGTCTCTTTAAAATCAATCAGAAGGATTCCTTCACAATCCCAAAAGATCGTAGCCATCACCTTTTTCGTTGATTGGCAGACTCTAAATTTTCGTGGGGGGGGGGGCTTCACCCTAACGGCGCCACTCCATTGATTCCCTTTTCGACAGAGGATCATAATAAAGAACCATAGTTTCATCTCCAGTGACTATTGTTATCAACACGGGTTTCGGATCATCTCCACACAGTTCCAAAAACGATCGAGCACACTCGACACGACGTTGCTTCTGAATCGCCGAAAGGTGTTTGGGCACCCATCTTGCACTAACCTTATGCATACCCAAATGATCATGGAGGATTCGGCGAACAGTGGTATCAGAAAGCTTGGTCATTTCTGCCATTTCCTTGATCTTCAAACGTCGGTCACTTAGCACCAGGTTTTCCACAAGGGCCACTTTGTCCTCCGTTATCACCTCCACTGGACTTGATAATATTGACGAACATATTAATTATAAAACAATGAATAAACATACTTTTATCTATGTTGATTTAAAATTTTCTTTTTTTATATTTCTTATACAATTCAAGCAATAATATGAATAATGAATAAACGTTTATAAATAGCGTCAATATTTATTAAAAAATATATTTTTCATAATAACTTCATTGTGAACACAATATAAAACAACTGATGATGATGATGATGAAGAAGATCATGATTTAGTAATTTTAATCAGCTTTACAAACATTAATATTTTGTACCTGTAAAAAATCTTGAAATAGCTATTATTGTTCTTATTGTCTGAAGTACATCATCAACGCCTATTTAATTTCATGAAGGTACATACATATTTGGAACATTTCTTCATAAAGCAGGTACGTGCTTAGTAAAAAAAAAAGTTCGATCTCAAGGTGCAACCATGAACAACAACGCGAGTAATAAAATAAATTATTGTTGCGGCACCGGATTTTTTTAACCTAATTATTAAAATGTTCGTGACATACAGAAACTCACGCGTCAAGGTACCTTTGGTTTTATAAAAATGCAAAATACGATGATTCAATTAACTAAATTGAGGTAACTTTTTTAAAGAACTGATTTTTATCTAAAGTGACCGTAAAACTAGATACAGGGTGTTTTATGGAAAGTTTTATTTGGCCAAAAGTTGTGTATTGGCGATTTAAATTAATTTGTCATTAGTCATCTATAAGTAGGATGTTTGTTTATTTACATGTTTTTGTTTTGGGCGGATTTTGTATTTGTGTTCTAGTCCTCCTGCTCCATATGTCTCTCTCTCTCGAATAAGGACGCTGTATGACTTTTTCATGTGCTATCGGGGAATTAGCAAGTCTAAGACCATACAGGGGATGTGGTGGTTATTAATCTTACTCATCAGCCCCATATATATTGACCCATCGCATTTCTTTATTGCTATATTAATCATCGAGAGTCCTCGCCTTCCAGCAAAATATGGAGAGGGATTAGATCCAGCATGGTCGCCATAGCTTTGTTTTGGTTCATATTCGTAACGGTTCCAGAACCTTTGGAGCATACGCAGTAGATAGTCGATGTTTTAATTTTACCATAACTAGTCCCAAACCTGTAAATTTCCTGTTTGGTTTTTCTTAAAATTTGTTCCATAAACATTCTTGAACAGTAACTTCGGTTATGTCCCAAAGCAAGAAGTGTTTCAAAATTGATATGTTCGCGCTAGCGCTTTTTTCAATTAGTTTCATTAAGGGAATCCTGGCCACGTTTTGTGTTGAAATTTTTAAAGGAATTTTAAAATGATGAATTAGAAAGAGGCAATTGATTAGATGGTGTTATAAGTTTTCTTAATTAGACATTTGTTTTTCTTCTTTTCTATTTACAAATTACTTTTTGACATTTAACCGTTCTAGCAGTGTTTTAGTTTCGTTAATGAAATGTTACAGAACTGTCCAGATGACTATTGCGCAATAGTTCTGCGCATGGTTCTGGAAAAATTCCCAAATGAGAATCAAAACAAACCTCATGGCTCCCATTCGTCTAGATAGAATAAAGTACAGATACACAAATAATATTTTGTGATAAGTCCCTTGTCCCACCGTGGGTTTTACCATTAGATCAGTTGAAGACTAATCCCCCATTTCATAAATTTAAATCCTAATTCTGAACACGTAAGGCAAAAAATTAAATAATTATAAAATAAAACTACTAATAGGGACCGTGCGTCATGACTTTAACGTTAACTGGTGACAAAAATGTGAACTTTATGGGGGGTATTTATTAATGTTTTATACGGCATTTATTGTTTAATAATTATTAATAAAATGAAGTCGAATTATTTTCGTAATATCAATATCGAAAAAACTTGTTGCATCCGTGGATGTACAAACACATCACTTTGGAAACCTGGATTTCATTCGATAGTAAAGAAATTTTATAAATTTCCACAGAGCACAATTTATGCCTCACACCCAATGATATACATAATTACAAAGATTGCTTATCCATATGTAAATCAGACGACGAAAAGCGTATTTCACTGGGCAAAGTTTTCTTTTTATCTAGCTTGTATCAATTTTGAGCACTTAGTTGTAAAGAAATCATTTACAGAACCGGTTTAGAAATTAGAATCTTTAGTGTTTTCTTGTCATTAAGATTTTTACATATTTAAATGAACATTTTATATAAATATAATTTTACAGATAATGGTTTATTCTGTTGATTAAAACTAATGAAATAAGAATGTCCAATTTGACAAAAATATCACGGCCCTCTTTACAATTTATTAACTATTTCTCATTTATTATTAAAATAAACAAATCATAAATAATACATTGCAATTACTGTCAAAAGAGATTGTAACAAACTTTAAAATATTAAAAATCCAGTGATTTTTTGTAAATTTTTTTAGTGACATTACCATTAAACATTATTCAGAATAATAGATAAGTGTCCAATTAAAACTCTTACCAAAGTTGTTTATACCTCATATCAAAATTGTTTACATTACCTTTTCAAAATTGTATTACATATTACAATTATGTATTTTATGTAGAATTGTTTCTGAAATAGTAGTCTAAAATTATTTATATCCATCTGTTATAAAAATTGTTTAGATCTCTTAATATTATTTAACTACATGAAAACTAAACTTTCCAAATACATAATGACATGTCTTGAAGTAAAACTTTAATTATTTTCTTTTTCTAAAGATTAAAATGCTGAAATTTTATTTTAAAACACATTTGGGCTAGAACGGCTCTATTTAGTGAGCACTAGGAAAGGCACATTGCAACCCGCTTTTCATATTTTTTTTATAGATGGGTGAGCAATCTATAATATGTATCATTGAACATCTCATAAACGTCAGTGGATGAATGACATTTCGATTAACATAAAGCTAAAAAGATTTATAATTATTATCATCAATCTTTTTTATTAATTTACATTTTTTAAATGTTATTGTAATACTTAAATTCAGTGTTACTAAATACCGATATTTTAACATTGGATACACTTGTTTAAGGTACAACTTTACAATTTATTGTCACCTAAGCCATTTAAATCTTTTTGCTTAAAATGTATATGCATATCCAGATTTAAATAATGTTTCACATTTTACGTCATTTTGACCATGTACACGATTGTTTGGTACGGGCCGGTATCTATTTTTAACTATATTTAATATTTAAAAAAATACCCTTTATTATTTACTTGCAATAATGTTTACCCCATTTAATTCTAAAATTAAACACTAGAGAGGGCTAAGTTCGGCAGTAGTGCTGCCTCTATATTTCACGCACGGTCCCTATTGGAAAAAAAACTTAAAGGTCATTAATAAAACAAAATTTGTTGAAGTACCTACTATATTTTAAGTTTAAAAACTTTTAAAATACCTACAATATTTTTCTAACTTAACGTGTTTATGTATGATCTTTTCTAAATATATAAAAATTAACCCATTTGCACATAGACTTTTTCATTCAAAAAAAGCAGTTAGTGAAACGTCTCTTATTAATTTGTCAAAATATCATTTTAACAGACACTGCATTTTAAATTATTTTCTCCTTTGTCCTCACCTAGCGGCGCCCTTGGGCTGAGTAGCAGATTAGAAAAACCATGAAGTACACAATACATATTCGATATTGTAACAAAAACTAGGATCGATTTGTAAATAGCGTTTTGTTACTCAGCGTTAAAAACCCAAGAAAACGATAATTTTTTAACCGGTAGGTATTTATTTTACTTATTAAAAGCAGTCAACCAATTACGCAGTATATTCACCGTTTAAAAGAAAAACGATTGTTGTTAATTTGTACATTTTTTAATGTTAGTAAACAAAACATTTAGTATAATTTAGAATCACCTTAGTTGAGTAATCCTTTTACAGGTCACACAGATAGTAGGATTTTTTTAGAATATACAGGGTTGTGCTAAATGAGCGGAATACCCGATTTCTGCCTTTAGACAAAGAATTAGGCAATCCAATTCCAAAAATGACCGGTGCTTGGCGAAAATAACAAAGTTTGTTGACCTGATTTTTTCATTAGCATTTGACTGTTATTGTAAATCATACAATTAGTATTCATTTATTCTTAATAAAATAAATATGAAATTATGTTATTTTTAAACCAAATACACCGAAAAAAACTCGAAACACTTCACAAAAAATGAATATATTATTAAAACACATTTGTCAAACAAAAAAGTGAAGGATTCAATTTTATTACAACTAAACAACTGTGTATATTTAGCGCCCGTGGCGGCTCGTGGGCTCTAGCGGCAGTGGGGCACACACTGGAAAGGAATCCCGGGATTCGTTTTTCCCTTAGGAAAACAAGTTCTCCGCTTAATGAAAATTAAATATATTTCAAAACAATCAGTTGGGGCAATAACGATTTCTGAATGTGACTACAAGGAGCTAAATGTGACCACTCAAAATGCATTTAACTATGTGGCTATTTAATCAAAAAATCATTACTTATCCACTCTTGCGAAATTTGCGTAAATTTCTCAGAAGAATGCAATTTACTTAACAATTCTAACTTGTTAACGCATTTTAAAGCATACGACTCTGAAGAAAAGGTGGTTGGCAATTTAAAATCTCCCAGCGAAAAATTTCTCTTTTATATTTTCAAATTAGAAAAAATATTTATATCTCTATTTGATAGTTTGTCAACTAAGCCTGGAATTTCCAACGCATACCTTTTTGAGACGAGCAAAATAGAGATTGGAATTGAGAACCTATCTATTTCTTGCTGAGGACGAAACCGGTCCAAGAATGATGTTCTCCTTAGTGAGCAAAATCAAAGTAGAGAGTGTGGAAAATTAATTTCTATCTCTGCCGTTTTTCCTTCGGATGTAATTCAATACCTGTTGCGGTATTAGCCAAAGGAGTAGTTGTTTTTAGAAGGGGAAACGGTCGTTGTATTTTATGTGATATTGGCTTTGAGCTAAATTCATTTTATTTCAGAAATTTATTTTGCCTAGATTGGGCGCCACTTTGTCAATGTAACGATATGAGTGGTAAAAATGCTAGGTGGCAGAAGTGAAAATTATTATCCTTAAAATAAATATATTTTTTTTAGATTTAAAATGGGCTGGGGCACCAGAATGGATAGCTGCGGTAGTTGTATGAAGTACAGCCTCTTTATCGTCAACTTAGTCATATTCGTAAGTATTTATAAAAACAAATTTGAGTAATAATTTTTAATATCTCTATTTGATAGAGGTAAATCATAATTCACAATCTAAAATGTGACGAGATAAGAAACAAATTCTTTACATTTTTTTATCACTCTTAAAATACTCAAAAACTTGTTCTCTTGCTGGATCTAGTAAAAACGTTCGACTACATTTTTTATTATTAAAAAAATCTCAACTCAATAAACACCCTGTTTGAGAGAATTTATTGCAATTACTTAATAATAATTGGAAACTTGTTACTTTACAGGTAGGAGGATTGATAGTAGTAGCACTAGGTATATGGACCATTGTCGATAAATCTTTCGCAAACCATCTTCTTGGAACAAACTTATATGCTGGAGCAGCGTACATTCTTCTTGCAACTGGTATTTTAGTTACGTTCATATCCTGTCTTGGTTGCATGGGCTCCGTCAAAGAAGTCAGATGTATGCTTGTTATTGTAAGTTAAGATTTTTCTATACCTACTTGTTGAATAAATAAATAAATTATTTTCCTAAACGATATTTAATAAACTTAATAAAAAAAAAAAAACAAATAAGAAACAATAAAAATGCAAGACCCTATAAATATTAATTAAATGTATTCATTAAAATAAAGAGTTAAAGAAACACCAAGGTCACAAATGAAATTTACATAGTTCGAATTTATAATTATTGCACATATTAATTGTAATTATAGAAAGAATATACTAAAATTTAACAGATATTAAAGATATGACGTGTGTTATATTTAAATCTGTAAATTAAATTCTAACTTTGTAACGTGAATAGGAAAATAAACCCAAAATGATTTATGGTGCTACTTGGGTTACTACTAATAATGGATAACATTAACTGACATGTAATTCTTTTTCAATGATTTAATTCGTAAATTTTTTTAGTATTTCATAATATTATTCCTAATCTTCTTAACAATGCTCATTGGAGGAATCCTGGCTTACGTCTTTAGAGAAAAAATCGACAATACCATTAGAATTGGCATGGAAAGTTCTCTTAGAGATTATGGAAACTATCAACCAGTCACAAATGCTTGGGATGAAACACAAACAAGGTTCGTAAATTCAAAATTTCACATTTTCTTCTCCTTGTTTTAAGGTAGGGTACGCCCGAAAAGAGAAGATACCATTACGTCACAATTCTCGCATCGAAATTACCGTTTTAAAACCATCTAGATTTTTAACTGTAGGCACGTACATTAAGTAAATGTTTGGAGGGTGAAACCTGTTTGAGTTTGTTACGTATTTAAGGTTTACTATATTAGAATAAAAAGTTAGTAACGTGACGTAATGGTATGTTCTTTAAAGAAAATAAATTAGTTATTAACAAAACATAGGGTGAATATCATCAGGAGACTAGGAAAACTAATAGTGCTCCCCCTACTCCGAATGTAAAGAGTCAATAGTACGAGGAAATTCAAGAAGTAGTAATTGCAAAGAATCAAACAAACGAAGAAATACAAGAATAAGAGGAAGAAGTAGCTGCGAAGATTTAAGAAAACGACGAAATTCAAAAAGAAGACACAGTAGATGCAAAAAGAAGTACCCAACCTGTTTCAAAAGCTACTAAAGACAAAAACAAATTGAAAATATTAATAATTTCAGAAATAATAAGTCTAAGGGGATTTGTAGAAGAGAAACAAAATGCTTAAATATTTTTAAAAATAAAATAAAACTATAAATAGTCGATCCTATGCAATTTTAATTTCATTATGTTTCAGATTAAGATGTTGCGGTATATACAGCTACAGAGATTGGCAAAACCGCATACCACTATCCTGCTGCAAGATGACCGCAAGTGGAGTACGACTTCCATGTCAAAATGTAGGCGAAAACAACCATTTTACCATATTTGAACAAGGTTGTCTGAATGTTACCAAAGAATACGTCAAATCACACGCTATCATTTTCGGTACGGCAGGGATCATCGTAGCATGTCTGATGGTAATTATTTCATGTAGTTTATTTGTTTATTTACGACGTAGATTTTCTGATTTAAAAGTCAATAAATACAAAATTTTTGCATTTGCCTATAGCGTTCTGAGTTTTTGAGATATAGCAATCTACAAATAAATATTGATTTATACGGTAAATCACAAAATTGTATTTTCTGACGTGCAAATTACAAGATATTTAAACAAACCCACTTAGATTATGTAAAGAAGTTCTTCAAAGTTATAAAATGATTAATCAAAGTAGGTTATAATATTTGTAACACAAATTGGGGCATGTTAATGGTTTTACTTCTATCGGTCATAAATAATTTGATTTTAGAACTGTTTAATCCATTACAAAGTGATAATTATCTTTATTTTAATGTTTTGCTTATTTTTTCTCTGGATATGAACTAAAAGTTTCATCACCACTTATATGTCAAAATTAGAAAACACCTGACCATGACCGATAAATCCAATTTGTCATTTTCAAAAAAAAAAAAAAAAAAAAAAAAAAAAAAAAAAAAAAAAAAAAAAAAAAAAAAAAGAGAATTGTTAAATATTTTTTTGGTATCCCTCCATATTGTTAATTAGAATTCTTAGAACCAATTCTGATTTAGTTTTTTTATTGTTTAGGTTTTGGGGATGATTTTTTCATGCAGTCTCTACAAATCGATCGAGTGAAATTGGAAAATTTCATAATTCAGTGCCAATCCAAAACTTCCTGGATATTTTGTATCTACCCCATCCACCTCTGCAAATTGTACTTATCGATGTTACCTTTAAGCAACATATCGAGTTACCAAAAGGGAAATATTAAAGTTAAATATTATTTTTTTATAAATCACTGGAAGATCTTCACAAATAATTTGTTTCAAAATTTTTTTTTTACATTTGTTTTCTATTATTGCGATCCTGTATATAATTCACGCAATCGCACATAATTGTATAAACTTTAAAATATAAATGAAGTATTATCTGATATTACAAAACGTTGTAATATCTATTTTATATTTACAATATTGAATGAAATGCACATAAATCTATTTTTAAGAAATTTTTAAAAAATTGCTTTTTGTGATGAAATTGTATGTATGTTTTATAAGAAATAAAAAATATCACATATTCTGTATTTATACTGTTGTTATAATGTTTTAATAAATCACTATTATTAATAAATAAATTCGGAATTTAATTCATCGTCATTCCAGTAAAAAATAAAAAACCCACATTCTAATTACCAATAAAAACGAAGAAGAACAATAATAACTGGTGGGCCATTTATATGTTGAATTATAAATTAGCAATGAGGACAAGAAAAATTAATTTTTTTCCAACAAATTTAACTTTATTTAATACAATATTTCTTCAGATTAGGTATGGAAAATTATATTTTAATTAAGTTGCCACCTCGACTGGCTTGGCAGTAGCCCATCCTGGAACATCAATTTTCAAGCACGGACCTAAGCGTCTATCTCGGTTATTATTGGTCAGATTTAAACGATGAAAACGTCATTATGTAGAGAACGTGGTATAAATTAACGTTGAATAGAAAAATCTTATTTTTGTTTATACTATTGTGCTGTTGCCATGTACCAATTAGATTATATCTGTATTATACTGCAATAAATAAATAATAGTTTTTTAAGCGAGCCATCAAACTATCTCTTTTACATTTATTGCTTTTATTTGTATTGTTGTATCTCCAAAAGCAAACACTGTATACATAGCTTACCTTAGAACTGAATCTAATCGTTACGTATCTTCAAATAGGCAAAACTTTAATAGTAAATAATTGAATGCGCTTTATTACCATTATGATTATTATTATTTTATAGAAGAGGTTGAATATTTACAACAAATATAGTTTAATATCCATAAAATATTACATTTACCTACATAATTAATTTTCCAGCCACAACTGAGTATACACATATAATAAAGACCTAAACCAACAAATATCGTACAAATATTAACAAAATAAAATATAACATTAATATCACAAGGATCCTAAGCAATCCTGAGTAATCTACCTGCAGGATGAATAGTTATTTCATACATTTGAGATTTGTTCAGATTAAGATGGTAAGCAAATTATATTACTATCCTTTATATGTATAGAGATTAGTTAACTAAAATAAAAGTATAATTATAGTAAATACTCTTAATCTCTTTTATATCATCTAGGTACATTGAAGTTATAAAAATGTTGATCTTATAAATTATATATTATAACAAACAAATTATTTTTCTTTCACAATTTGCAGGTTATAGAATTATTTTCTATGATTTGATTCGTCCTGCATGTAAAAGTCTTAATTAAATATTGAATAAAATTATGTAACTTTAATAGACTCTTAAGTATAGGTCCTACCTATATAATATGAGTAGAAGAGGATTTGAAGAAATTTAACAAAAAAAAAAAGAAATAGTTTCGTAAGCCAATTAGGTACAACCTTTCTCATTCTTAACATGTTAGTATGAAATATGATATACAATTAATAGGTGCAATTGAGGCACTCAATCCTTTTCCATGCGTCATCAGTAAAAAACAAAAAAATCAAGAACCACTGATCAAAATAATTGTCTGTCTTGAAATTAAAAAGGATATCAACATCCACATATGTAATAATAATTAATTTCCATTGATAATTAATTATATTTCTATAAAAGCAATATGAGACATTACAACAAAACAAAATTTGATACTTTTTTAGTTATAACATTATTTTACTATTATTTTCGTGTATAAAATAAATGAATTTGTACATAGAATATATAAAGGTACGTACATTATTTTAAGAAAAACCCTTCCGTTGTTACAACGTACGTATTCATGGTTTTTGTGAACGCCTTACATAAAAACAAAAAATTTGTACATAAAATTATGAACGTGTACACTAAATCAATGTAATGATTTTACAAAATAACTCGGTTCATTGTTATAATGAATTACGTTTATTATTTTATAATTGTCGTATTTTAATCAATATAATCGTTATTAAATAATACTGTTTTAAAATGAGTTGCGTTTTTTGTTATAAAGCATATCTATGTAATTCAGTGTTCGAATACTTTAATAATGCGTTTCTTCATTGGTTGGAGAAAAAGTCCCTCGAAACTTACAGTTAAAGAAGGTATTCTGCTAAACAGTTTTAAGTTAGTCGTGGGTTACTGCATGATGTTCTAGATTTTCTAGAAAGCATGTATTGTTAAATAATAGTTACAGTTATTATATCAATAAGCCAGTTTCCCAATATGTTGTTATTTTTATCATTAAGTAATTCAGTACATTAGGATAATTAATTTATACATAGAATATATAAAGACAAGTAAGTACGTTATTTTAAGGAAGTTCATAGTATCTAAACTATATAACTCTGACAAATAAACAATAGACATATATTTAAAAAATTATTTAAAAATTATAATTTTAAAATTAATAGGAATACAATTGCCAGTGATTTTATTTTAGAAAACTTTATGGATATATCCCCCATTCGTAAGTTCAATGGATGTCCAAAAACTGTCCATAATGGATACTATAAAAATGACAAATAATAAATTTTTTAAATTCTTCTGGTATATTTATTTAAGCTGTATTTTTTGTGATAAAAAAGTTGCTGTCACTTTTCATTGTTAACCCTCCAGTTTTGTTATCTGGTAAGAAAGTATCAGGTCTGTTCCAACAACAATCAGAAACCACTCAGTGACACCAGGATTTTGCACAGTAGAGAATTTGGTGGTCCCAATAATCTACTACGCAGAATCCTGATGTGATGGATATTTAAAGCTGAAGGTCTTCTAGACTTGATTAATGGAAAATTACAGTGCCCAGATGAAAGCAATACAAAATTAAGTAAAGAATTTGAAGAAAATAATGCACGAAGGATGCTGTTGTTATCTACTTTAGTAGAATTTGAAAACTTGCAGACGGTAATGAGTGGTGATGTCTATCAGATGTCCATAAATTGTCCAAAAGCAGTACAAAATGAGTCCATATATGGAATCCAAATGGACGTCCAGGAGTGAGACATTTGTATAGTCCAATGAATGTCCTTCCGTAAAATGCTGAACTTCTGATGGACATCCAATGGATTGACGTGTACTGTCTGGGAAATAGTAGGTATACCAAAAGTTTATGGACTGACGTATAAAAAACAATGTAAACTAATTTTCTGAGAAAGCGCTTTTGGCATATTTTGAGAAACTTATGGAACAATTCAAACCTTCATCATTATGTCAAGAATCTTCATTTCCATATAAAATAAAGTGAATTCTAAAGACAGTCAGATGGTTTTAAAAGCAGATTTTTTTTTGATGAAATAAGTAAATATTTAAATGAAGCTCTTAATTCACAATAATATTCACAAAGGTTTTTAACTAAACCAATTTACAATATTTTTAATTAGATGTATTTAGTAAATATTATAGATTATGAATGTATGATTGTGGTTGTAGATAAAGTATAGTACATTACTCGCTTCTTACTACTCTTGTTACGTAATAGACTATTATGTAAATACTTATTTATTCTTGTTATACATATATATTTTTATTTTTTTGACCATTGGTCCCTAAAAGAAATCATTGTTTCCGAAAAAAGTGTTGCGACTAATTGCAATTTAATTTACCTAATCTAAATAAAGCACTATTATTATAATTATTATTTATATTATCGTTTTTTATATTTTCAAGTTCAAGTATGTTCTTTGTGAGGAAAAGGACCCCATATTTTCATAACCTATCTACATGTAAATAAAATAAATTTTATTATATCTCCTCCATTCGTTTTCTTCAGTTCAAAATACGCGCAGAAGTTTGGAACAAATTCTTATGCCTCAAGGGGCTTTCAATGAATAATTTATCTAATCATTAGAAAAAAAAACCGTTTATTTCGACTTTGTAACTATTTTTTTATTTTATGAAAATGTTCGTATCGTATAGATAAAATATTTAAAAAATCTAATAGCTGGAAGATGTAGATAAATATTCTGGTGAGGCAAAACATCATGCAGTGCCTGATACCACCGCAAATATTAAAAATGTGGTAACAGGAGGTTATTTTTTTTATATATAAATTATATAAAACATCCTTTGAAATTGAAAGGTATTTAAAAATTTATTTATTGACAATTTTGTTTGTTTTTTAAATCAGAAACATTCTTTTTTACAAATTTTAAGAGACATGTTAAAAATTATTAATTTGAACTGGTTCCTTTAAAATATCGGGAGAACGTTTGATAACATGCCCTAAGGGTTAATTTTAACCTAAGATATGCACTGGAATAGAAGAAGAGCGGTAATCAATTTACTGTTTTGGATTTTAGTTTATACTTTTCGATATTCGGCTCAAATCAACCCATAAAAACTGAATTTTGTCTACATCTTTATTAAATCCAAAAATTTTTTTAGAACAGGCAGCTAAAGCCCTTAATTTAAATTGTACCTTGAAATATTAAATGTAAGAGCTTTAAAATAAAAATGTAATATACCTGCTACGAAGACTAAACCTTTATAGTATCTAGTTTATACCTTTCTTAATTTTTCAGTAATCTAGGTACCCCACACTATTCTGAAATATAAAAATCTAACTGAACTATAACAAAAACTATACAAATTTTTTTTTGTATAATATGAATATTTTCAGTACGATAGTTTTAAAATATAGAGTTTGTGTCGATCAAAGACTGTCCTTTATACGGATGTCTCCACAAGAACATGATGAGTTGATTAAAAGATTGTATTTTATGGATAGTAGACAATGATACTACATTGATATCTTATATTGATGACACATGGAAAAAGATCCAGAGATTCAACTGTAGTTTTGACTAAATTTATTCAATTTTAAAACGTATAAATTTGCCGATTTTTATTACAAGATAAATAATAAACAATAACACCACACTATAATATAAACTCTTGACTAGGTTTAGGCCTCCCTTGAAACATCAACAAACAGCCTTTTAACTCCGTTACACTGAATCCTCGATGGGCTTCGCCAATAATTCCTGTCTCCTAGATAAAAGTTTGGCTAATATCAGGGTAAGTAGATGATTTTCTTTGAGATCATTTTCATAGACCGGTGATATTTGATCAAGGAATGCTGAAAGAAAAAAAGATATTTATTTCATGGCTAATTTAATATACTTGTAATGGTAGTTTATGATAAACTGCAATGTTATACTGTGGTAAAGAACATCTGTTTATGGTTGTTAACACATTGCGTGCCACGTCGGGCGTATCTGCCCGACAGTGACGTTTCCAGTCAGGCCACGTCGAGCATATATATGCCTGACGCGCACTTTATCGTTCCAGGCCGTGTCAGTCAAGCATGCCCGACGGTAACATACTTTTTAGAATAATACGCATGAAAGTATGATATATTTGGAAGATTGGGTCTATTTTTAATCTCTGAGTGTATTTTTTTAAGTGCTATTTGCCTCAATATATTCTTTATCTAAGTTTCAATAAAGGTCTTGTTTTTTTCTCGGGGCTTTTTCGGATGTGATACTTCTCCAATATTTTGTTTAATACTGTTATACACTCTCCGCTTAGGTATGGGTCTCACATTTAATGGCTATTTCATTCACAAAAAGTGAAACAAAATCTTTTCGAAGATATACATTAAGTACGATATTTTTTCTAAGTTGTTTACTTGTGCTTGCTATATTTTCTCATCCACTCACCATTCTTATATAAATATAAAATTAAAATATATACTAATACAAAATTCCGAATCAAAATATATACGATACGGCTATGAATAAATAAAGTCTGGCTTATCTGTCAAAAGAAATGATTTAATTCACTAAAAAACATGATTATTTCCATACGAAAACTTTTATTAGGCCGATTAGATGCATTAAAATTTTTATTTTAACTGTAAATACGTTAAAAATTAAATTATTGCATTCCTTTCTTCTCTAGACTATAGTGAAAACTGACTTATATGCGAATTAGAGTAACGATTGGTCAAAACAAAAAAGAAAACCGCAGAATAACAATTTATTATGTCACACTTCACTCATTACTATTCTTCTTTCCCTTTTTTTTTTCGCCGTATAATTACCACGGTTACTTGTATAAACTATTTTACAATATTATCGAATAAAACCAATTCAATTAGAAAATAAATGTGTTTCATAGAACGTCCGCTAAAAAATTAATTTTAAAACATATTTATATTATTCCTAGTATGTGCTATTTTGAATATTCCCAGAAGCATATTTTTAATATATTATTAAAATGTATTCATAGAATAATTTACCTTTATATTATAATGAGTTTATTCGAAATATAAACTATTTGGACAGGTTAATATATAAAAAAAATTACCTCTATTTTTGCCAACCAAAGAAGAGGGATCAGGAAAATCGAGAGCTTGATCTGGATCTCTACCGTATCGCATAAAAGATGGACTTCTTCCCAATCTCATGTAAATACCTCTGTGTATCCTTTCTGGCGATTTTGCTACTGGCAAATTTTCTGGCGGCGTAGAACGTTTAGCGCGGATTTTCTCGTCTTGATCTTGGAAATTTCTACCTGCAAAATAAAACAAAAACAATAAGTAAGTGGGTAGTATAAAATTCATTGAGTCTGAAAGCATTAAAATGTTCTTCTTGTTTTATTGTGCTAATAAGAAATGCATAATACGTGAATTACTTTACATCCTTAACAACTACAATAGAATTTAACAATTTCAAAAACAACTTTGGTTATAGAAAGTTGGGCAGACAAATTGAGAAGCAAAATGAAGTACCTAATAACGAAGGATTTATTTTTATACCTGGTATTCTAAACGAATTGAGGTCCAAACACTTTAAACATTTAAAAGCATATATGGGTCACATCATTTTGCGAAAAAGTAATCAAAACTTTACAATACAAAAAAAAAATAAAATTCCGCTTCTAGAATGATTAACAATAAATAATATGTTAATCAGAGCATTTCTAATTCTATTTATTCGACAGGAAAAATTAATAAGATAATTATAAAAATATTATGGGTGAGTTTAGTCAACTAACGTTACGGTTTGTTAGAACAGTGCAACAGTGCCAGCGCAAAACTCACAGTCTGCTGAGCGCTGCGCACGTCTGCTGAAATCTAACAATGTTAATAAAATGTTAAATGGGAATGGTTTGTTAGAGTCAGCACAGTTAAACAGACAGCAGAATACGTCGAATGATTACGTTGAAATCAATTTGAGTTCGATTTGGATGCACTCGTTCAGCTGAGCATACAGCAGATTGTCAAGTGAAATGAGGTTAGGATAATTTATCTTATAATTAAAGTAATGTAGCCGAAATTTTCTTCTGAGGAGCCATCCATCTGGATGTGATGTTATCTACTCCTCTGTATGCAAGTGCTCTTTTTATAGATTCGTGTGGCGTGTTGTCAAAAGCTCCTTCTATGTCTAGGAAGGCACACACGACCGTTTTTTTGTTTGTCAGTGCATCCTGGATTATGTCAATCAACTGTACCAGGGCAGTTTCTGTAGATCGTCCTGTTCGGTACGTGTGTTGGCTATGGTGGAGTGGTACCCTCTCCAGGACTTCTGTTCTGATTTAATTATCAACAGCCTTCTCCATTGTTTTTAATACAAAGGATGTGAGGCTGATTGGTCGGAAGTATTTAGGATGTGTGGTATCCTTTTTCCCTACTTTTGGAATAAAGGTGACTCTGGCCCACCTCCAAGCTTCTGGTATATATCTCAGCTCCAGACTGCGGATAGCCGAATTATGTATGGTAGTAATTCTTCCTATGCCTGCTGAAGCAAGGCAGGAAATGTTCCATCCTACAGCGGCCTCTCTTGGAGGCCTGCTTCCTTAGTTGTGTCCCTTATTAGAAAAAGTGTGCTTCCAGGAAAGTGAGTTTCGAGTAAGAGGCGAGCTCTTTCCTCCTCACTCTCCGTGAAGCTTCCATTTGGTTTCTTTAATGCCATAACTGTATCAACTCTCCCTTTTATCAGGCAGTCTCGCTGCCGCAGGTGTAGAGTTAATATCCTCGCAGAATTTTCTAAAGCTGTTACGTTTAGCTTTCCTGATTTCTTTGTTGTAGGTAGTAAGCGCCTCGGTGTAGCCTGCCAATCTCCGCTGTGCTTGGGCCTATTATAGTGCTTCCGCACTTCGGATCGTAAGTTTGGCAGATGACGGTTCCACCAAGGAGCATCCCTACTAGTTCTTTTTCTTTGAATGGGGCAGCTTGATTCATATGCCTCAAGTATTGCCCCATTTAGTTCTTCGAGATCGCTTTCCAGAGCAAGTGGGTGCCCGGGCCCCTTTTTTGTCTGGATACGTGCTAAATTGTGTTTTAGAATTGTATTGCATTTGTCCCAGTCTGTTTTTCTAGGATTCCTCCTGAGGATCGTCTCAGGAATGTCGCTCTCTAACACAATTATCTTTTGATCAGATAGAGATGGTTCACTCGATACCCTCCCATTTTTAACTAGATCTTTAATGCTCGGTGTGCTTAATGTGATGTCTAATACCTCACTTCTTGCCCTTGTTACAAATGTATTCTCAATATTTTGCACAATAAGGTTCTTATTAAAAATATATTCTAAAAGTTGCTCACCTCTTTGACTGGTGTCGTTACTTCTCCCTACGGTACTGTGCGCGTTGGCGTCGCATCCAAGTAATGGCAGATGTCTTCTCTGGCAGTACTCCACTAGCCTCGATACTTCGGGGAGTGGTACATGCCCATTCCGGCGAAGTAACTAGAAGCTATTACTATGTCTTGCCGCCTCATCCCTAATTCCAGGTATGCTCGAATTGGAACAAGATCACACGTCATGAATTCTGAAAGACAAGAATATTTAATATTACTTCTTACCCTTGCATCCTTACATGCAAATCCTCTTACCTGGTTTCCATAGACCCACGGTTCCTGGATCAGTACAATGCCTAATTGATCTTTAGTAAGGCAAACTTAGTAAGAAGGAGAATTGGTCTATTTCTGGTTACGTCATAAATTTTAAACATTTATAACCAAAAAAATAGATAAAAAAAATTAAATGTAGCTTTATTTTGAACTGCATTATTCACAAAAAAATTCAAATTTTTTGAACATGCCTCAATAAAATCCGATCTTGGAGCTTCTTGATAATTTCTTTGTAAAAAACGGTAAAAATTATCCTTGAACAAAACTATAGCCCATTTCCTACATCAATTTTTTTCAAGTTCTTCAAATAGATGTCTTTTTTCTGTATTTGTGGTATTTCTTTATAGTTGATTTATTTTGTATACAAAACTTTAAACTTTATGATGAGCACTGTATTTAAATTCGCTCTCTTATATTCATTTTTACTCGCCGTATCCTTTTGCTCTATCGGAAAAATTGTAACAAATTAGGAAAAATCTCCACTGGTGCCAGGGAATAGAATCCTTTTATAAAATTTCCCTTGTTAAGAAGAAACTGTCAACCGCATTCAACATGGGGATAAACATTATTTTTTTATTTCCGCATTTTTTATTTAAAAAATGTTTTAAAATAAATCGAAGTTGTATTATAAAAAGTATTTAGATTTCTTGTTTATTTGCTATATGTATGAGCGATTTAATTAACTTTAACAGGTTTGATGTCCTAGAAAGTATTTCAATAGTTTGCACGCTTACGAAAGTTTTTTTTTTAAATATCGATTAGATGAAGGTTTCAATGACATTCTTGTAGATGCCAAACATCTTGCTTGTAAGTAGATGCCAAATTTAATTTGAAATATTTACGATTTGAGTAAGTATGTGTTTTATTTATATATGTATCTATTATTTCAAGTACACTGCACAATTAACAATTTCAAATGGCACAGTCTTAGAAATAAAACAACAATTGTATTAAAATGCAAAGTAACTGAATAATATGTAAACATATTTAAAAGTTGTAAAATACGTATAAGGTCTTAAAATTAAATATAACTACGTAGGAGACAATCACAGAACAATCAGAAAAACTACCTAATATGTTAAGACTCGATCATCATATTAAAGATAATAAAGTACAATTAAAAAGATCACAGGGAAAATAGTAATTGTTATAATTGCAACATAGTCAATTCATAAAAGCTCTTTGTCCATAGTTTGTAGAAATTTATTTTGCATCAATAATATTTCATAAATAATGTGCCCATTTAATACATTTGTAAAGAAAAAGTAGCATTATACCCTCGCGTCTCCATTCAAGATTATCCAATACCACAAAGCAGCAATTTCGTTTCATTAGACACATCCTGGTAAGGGAAGTGAAAATATTTACTAAGTTTATTTTGAACTCGTTTAATTTGGTTCTCCAAGACCTATCAGTACGGCAATGTTCTAAAATACTGTCGCCGCCATCACCTTCTTCTACACCGCAGGATCTAATGGAGGAAGAATAAGCAGTATCTCCATTGCTGCAGTGGGCGTAGTTCTAAATGCCCCTGGATAGGCCAGTCTTTCTACATTTCCAATTTTTTGCTAGCTGTTACGTTGTTAGCCTTGTGCCACCATATTACTGATGAGTAAGTTATAACAGGTACTACAACCACAGTATAACTAGTAAAACATACTTGGTTTGGGCCCCAATGTATTCCCTACCATCCGTCTACAGGTCTATAGTATTCTTACAGCTTCTTCTGTATGGATGCAGAAACTAAACTTGTCATCAAGAGCAATTCCAAGATATATAATATCCTTTTGTCATTTTTGATGTAGTCCCCACATTTGCAGTTCCTACGTTCATTGATGCAAGATTAAAAGTAAGACCAACTAATTTTAAAATTGAACATTTACTGCATTTAGAATGTATCATGTTGCCTGGCAGTACAGCACAGTTCAGACAAACACTAACTGAAAAAGGCGACCTTGAATATCAGCTATAGGAATGTAAATAGAATCACCGTGTATATATCTATTTACTCCAAATTATGACAGTAAAAGAGGTCGTAACTCTATAATATTAAAAGTTTTATACCAAAATTCCTTTCAGTAGGTATTAATTAGAACCTGGTTTAACTTTTAATAAAATTGAATTACGTCACGGGTGATTTTAAGAGTGCTGAAACATAAAAAGTATTTAAATTTTTTTATGACTTATTTTGGCGCAAAGGTTCCTGCAGATCAACGTCAGATTTACAGTGACGTCGACATCGAAAATTACCTACTTTTAATAATCGATACGTTTTTACTTTAGACTATACAGAGTATTTTATTAATAAGGAACCATAAAATAACTTGAGAATGTATTTTTCTTAAATTATAAGCAAACATTGAGCAAAAATTAAGGATAATCTAAATTGATTTAAATTTTAAGCGAGATAATTTTTACTGGCAATCTAATGACATTTATGTTTATATGGACTGATTATAAATTTCTCTATTTTCTAGATTTTTTATACCAACTGATATTAAATTAAAAAACAAACATATTATATGCACATAACCTATAAATATTATACACAGTGAAATGTATTAAATAAGTCCGATTAAAAAAAAAAATGTTATTTATTATCTGCATACATTCAAATCGGTTTTTTTTATAGGGTTTTAAAAACGAATACAATGAAATTTAATCTTTAAAATTACCAATAAAACACATTTTAGGATTAAAGTTTTCAAATAAAACGTTTTTTGTTCATTTTCGAAGTAAGCTTTCCCCAAAAATATCCGATTGAATACACGATTGCATACAATGCACATGTTTAAATTACATTCTAATTGAAATGCAATCAATGGATTTTTAAAAATACATACACCTATAAAAAATTCCAGTGAAATTTAATAATTATTACCCGTTAAACAAATTTCATTTTATATATAATAAAATTTTTAGCTAGGCCTGAAGACATATTCGGAAATCGCCAACACATTATGAGATCAGTTCGGTACCAAGAAAATGAGACTAATACAATTTACGAATATGAGTTAATTATGCATTTAGGTATAAATAATGAGTATGCAACTGGGAAAATTAATTCGAATTAAACAAATGTTCAAATACCTTCTAGGTATGTATATTTGGAATTATTGCATAATATAACCCCTACTGTTAATCTTTTCACAATTCTCTCATCAGAAATCAAATCACGATTAGAGAGAGATTGCCTAAAAGACCTAGCAGAGCTAAGTAGTCAAAAATCATATGCACAGCTTTAGAAATAATTTAAAACCACTCACCTCTATTTCAAGATGCACTCGCAATTATTTTACTTCAAAGAAGTTTCTTGTGTATTATTTAAAATAAATAAACGTTTCTTCTACATTTGTTGCCTTCATTTAAAATCTCAAAATACCAAGATGTAGGCTACCAGTTTAATATTTTGGAAAAATGTGTTGCCTAACCTAGTAGTAAAGGCATCAAAATGCCCGCGCCCTATGTTGGGCGTGTCGGACGTCCTTCTTGCACCGTATAGTAATCAAAGTATGTGCTCATACCTCCCTGACAGAACAATTATGGTCAAAGTAGACAACTCCTTGTCAGACCCATTCAACCTACTTGCTGGGGTACCACAGAGCTCCATCCTGGCTACTCTATTATTCATATACACCCACAACATTCCACCTCCAAACCATCAATCGTCAAAATGTCTTTTCTATGCCGACGATACTGCTCTGCGCTATGTAGCCAAAAATTCTGACCAACTAAGTAGGTACAACTCAAATCTGTTAAACCAGTATTCTCGCTACTGTACTTAAAAAAATCCACCCAATACGTCAATGTAAATCTTCTGGTAGTCAGACTTGCTCAAGACGTGGAAGTTGACTATTTGGGAGTGCGATTCTCTCGTACATTCAACTGGTTATCTGATGTCCAACGCTCTCTCGACAAGATGCGAAAGCAAGCCAGTCTCCTTGGTGCTTTATGTGGACGATTTGCAATCCAAACACTATTTTACACTCACAATTCTTTTATACACCCCGTTGCCAAGTATAGAGCCGTACCTTCCAGCGTACTTCCAACAAATCTTTCACATTCGAGGGACGTATACTTCGTTCGACGATGCCAATATATTTACCTTCACTTTCCCAGCGAAGTCGTTTTCGAAAATATCTTCGGCACCTCCATTCTTATACGTTTCTAAACCTTTAGAAAACAATATGTCTCTCGCAACTCTGTAAGGCTCAAATACATATTCCGAAAACACTTTAGAAATCACTTGGCGCATACGGAGCCTCCCATTATTTCGAAAACCGAAAAGAAAACTCCCACAACCTAACTTAAGACTAGTCTCAGACTTCCAAGACCTCCCGCTTACCGATGAACTCCAGGATCTGCTAAACTCAGCCCACTATCTATGAGATAAACCTTCCCCAATCGTATAATTAGCCATATCATATTATTATACAGTATCGTAATTTAGATTTTCGTGGTTCCCTAAATTATATTTCCCATCTTATACTATGGACTTGTTGGTTAGAAATAGCAAAATGGAGGATATTATTTTGGGAAGCCAACCTGTCGCACAGGTTCCACGCGCCAAAAATAGGTAACTATTGTAATCCGGGCAAATTACCCCGAAAAGGAGGATAACTCCTATAGAAGGGTATTAGGAAAAACTAATGATTCTATAACTATATTAGGCTGTTCATGTCATTCCCATAAATTTTAATAAACATTGTTACAACTGGTTAGAAAAGTTTCCAATGGTTACTATAGCTAATTAATTAATTAATTAATTACCTAATTATTTTATTAAACTCATGTGTGCTATGCAATGCCAAACATTAAATGACTATCTAAAAGAGAGCTGTCAATTTTATTCTATAAATTGATTTCTGATGGTTTGTTTTCATTTACGCTACAAGCATTTTCCAATCAACTACAACCTGCGTTCACATACATAACTAAATCATCCACCGATAGTGGGCTCACATAATTCCGCCCAAATATAATTAGAATGAAAATGAATTTCGGAGCATTCAACAAATTTTGTGAAATAAATTTCTTCTCTATTTGTAATGCTTTTTTTTAAGAAATAATACTTTAAAATAAATACAAAAATAATTTAATTCACAAAACATATTTAAATTTCCCCTATTCCTACAGGGTTTTAAGTGATATCCGTAATCCACGTGATCTGGTAATATCACAAAAGGCATAGAAAATCCCATAAAATTTCAATAAACCAATCAGTTCCCATTATGGATTGATAGTGCTTTAATTCTTTTTTATTATTGGTAAGTGAAAATTTATTTTTCTTAATTCGTTAAAGTTTATTGAATAGGTATTTAATTTATTTCAGGTACAGATGTTTACATCTAATTAAAATTTTTTAAAATGAATGGTTCACTTTTAATAATAAATATAATAATAATAATAATAATAATAATAATACTCTCCCTAATTCACCCCCTTACGAGTGAATTTCAACCCCTGAAGTCGACTGAACGACTTGTGTAGGGGAAGGGACGGCTATTATTATTATTATTTGCCGTGGCGCTCCGGGGCGAATTAAGGATGATTGATGGTGCCATTTGATTTACAGGTGAAAACCCGGAAAACCTCACCCACCATCATCGAGACGATAATGTATGGCGATTATATAATCTGCATGTCATATCAATAGAAATTGAATTTCTATTAATACGGCACACATCAAATCCTAAACCGAACCATGCAATTTAATTAAAAATCCACATGGTCTGGTCTGGGATTCGAAGCCCAGCAGTCTCGGACTCATAAACTTGCCTATAAATGAATATAAGCGCGTTAGACCGCTACACCATCGACCCGATAAGTGAAGTGGAACTTGAAATTCTGATAGAACCTGTTCATATTTAATTCATAGATATATTCGACAATTTGAGGAACTATTTCCAGATGAATAAATAGAATACTTTCTGTCGTCATAGATAGGTTGTACAAAATAACCGGAAAAAGTCTATAATAACTAGATAGGAAAGTCATGTGTTGGACACATCAGATTTTTAATTTCAATTTTCTTCTAAATGCATAATTCAACGTTTAATTGTCAAAATAAACAGCATTAGCGATTGTTTCTACCTAAATAGAATTGAATATTCCGATGCGTTGTTATAGTCCATTAAACAATTTACTGAATCTACTAATCAGATTTTTAAAGCGGTTTTTTCTGTGAAATCGAATTACAGAAAGTAATAAATGATTTTAAATGGACAATTGACAAAGGCCATAGAGTCATAACAGTTGTTTTCATATACGTCGCACTTTTGAAATTGTTATAATAATTTTATAAGCTTTTACTTAGCTACTAGCTATATATATATATACTGATAATCGTGTTAACAAATGAAGTTAAAAAATTTCTCAAAATGTTTCATTTCATAAAAGTTACCAAAATTAGGTTCTACAATACAAATATTTAAATCTGGTCTAGAACATCTCCATACTCCTTCCACCGACGTTTTCGGTTTTTGCAAAATTCGCGCACTTTTATTTATACCTCTACTCTTTCTAACCTCTTTGGTACTACCAAATAAATATTAAATAATATTATTTGTACACATGAAATTATAATATATCGAAAATGATCTATTTGTACAATATTAAAGTCAGCTTTGTCAACGATACATTTTATTTTTGAACAAAAATTAAATCTAAAATTGAATTTTCATTATTATGGATATGATTAAGTTGGTACACGTTATTAAAAGTACACATAGTTATTAGATAAGTTTTCAAGAGATTTGACTTCTGCTAGTGACTGAATAATAGCAATATTGGAGCAGATATATTGAACATTAACCAAACACTATGAGGCAGCTGCGGCGCATGTTTTGGGAGTGCACATGTGCACTTGTTAAGGAACCACGACTGTGAGACATATTAAATCCTTCAAGAATGCACATATGAGTACTAGTCTAATTTAAAACTTACCCAATCTCAGAAACGTAGACTTATTCCTAATTTTCGACGGGTCTCTACCATATCTCATAAACGAATTAGATCCTGACCGGCCGAACCTTACATGGTGATTCCCGGATCGTTTAACGTGCACACTTGGCTCCTCGATTTCATCATAAATATATTCTTTATTCTTATAATCTCTGCTGTTTCTTCCGAACCTCATGAAATGATTGTCTCGTTTCTCTATATCGCTTTCATCGGGATCTAGAAATTCGTCGGAATATAAATTGTAGTTGTCTAAATTTTCCGAGTAGGAATCTTCGAAATTTGCGAACGACGACTGCACCAAACAGAAGAAGAATATTGAATAGGATATCATTATATAACCTACAATAAAAAATAATTATTAAAAAAATATGCAAATAAGTTTATATATGACCAATAAAGTAGAGACGACATAAACACTATGCAAGAGACGAAAAAGTGTAACTGAAATAGCGACATAGGTCGTACTTTGATTTATTTAAAGTCAATGATTGTATTTGCTCTCAGCAAAATTAATACAAAAGTGCAGACACTTTAACATCGTCATAGCATCTCCTCTTTATTTTATCTCAATGTATTTAACAGATAAAATTAAAATGAAATATTCTATTCGTCCACAAATAAAATTGAAATTACATATTAAAATTTCCTTTAATTGGGACTTTTAAAAGACCTCTCTGAGGTTTTAGGATCAAGGCTTAAAGAAAAAAAATTACTTGCTCCAGGTATAAATAAAAGAGGTAGTTTTTGCAGGGGCGGCTCAAGCACAGCCCTAGACATACCACTGACTTTCGTATGCGTTTTTTTGTACAATAACTTCTGACCTACTCTTAGTTTTGTTGAGGTATTTAATATAATTTTTTTTGAAAAAATCCTCCCCAGAAACGTTACACCCCTCCGAAGATTTAAAAAAAAATGGTTTTTCTTTTTTATTCGTGTCATAAATTTGTTAACCTATGCTCAAACTCATATCTTCGCACACATTTTATTATAAATAATTATTTTAGGCACAGAGAGCAGTTCATTTTAGAATGTGTCACAAATAATCGAATCCGTTTTAAATTAACATTTTATAAAGTTCATTTTTCCTCTTTTGTTACGTGTTGGTATACAATTTACGATTTTCTCTCTGAGCTGCTTCTATAATTTTCCCAAAGGGAGGCGCAAAATTTCTTTCGTACTACAATTCCCAGGCCTGTTCTGAAATTAGGTTTTCTTTAGATGTAATTTATAAATTTTAAGTATCATTCTCAACCAACTCCCAAAACCAAATAAATGTTTTTTATCAAAATCTCACCGGTCCTCTGAATTTAAAATTGTTGGAGACACTTATAAGTCCACTAAATGAATATACTTTATAGAAATGCAGAAAAAATCAATGAATATATTATTATGTGATGTGTAGTTGTTAATTTAACGTATGTAATATTGTTTAAACATAACAATATTGTTTAAAGAAATGTAAGCAATAATTTACAAATTACTTAGGCTCTTCCTATGTAAGAATAAAACTTGTGACCTGTTGGAACTGTTCCTTGTATCAATAAAGTTATTTAACATTATTTAAATTATTTCTACTTATTCCGATTGTGTTTTGATAATTATTCTTCCTGATAACGTCATCTATCATTTACTTCTTAAATTATGCAATACTAAATTCCCAAGTATATTCCCTCATTTCGTTGTATAAATTATTTAAATATTATGTATGATGGAGAATACATCTAGGACTAGTAGAGTGACCTCCAGGATCACCAGATTCTAGACCTTTAAAAAATTTCGTTTCTAAAACAGTACGCGCATACCTAATAACATGTTATTTTACTATTTTCATAATCATTAAATACTGAAAGACCACATTTTTCAGGACATTGCACTAGTTAGATTGGAACATTAAATAAATGAAATTTGTTTGAAATTAATGACACTTCAGGTTAAATTTTATTCATAAAATGCTATTCTACAGAAATAAAAAATTGTTTATTACTCTATAAATATATCAGTTTGTATTTAATTAAAGAGAACGTAGGTATAACGAAAACAATTATATTTAGAGCCTTTAATATCCCTCTGGACTTCAATGAATGAAATACTAAAAGTGTCCCTGAGGTGTCTACAAATACTGTAGTTAAAAACAACAAGAGCAAATATTTATTTAGACATAATACGGCATTCTTTTTGTGCAAGTTCTTTTGAAATGAAAACTGAAATGTGAAGTAAAAAAAAAAACAGAAAGTAATAGTTGGAGGTGCTTGCATTTACTTTTATTTGATAGGAAGATTCGTCGTGATATTTTTATTTGATATTTGCAGTATTTTTTATCAAAATTACAATTCAAATAATATCGAGCTATTAGTTAACCATTATTTTGTTTTTGTGTCAGATGATAATAAAAACGAGGAAAACGCTTCAGTAAGAAAGTGTTACTACTAAAAAGTTTACTGTGGCTGTAAAACTTTTTAAACTAATACAAGATCTGTTAATAATTTTTATATTCCACAAACAAGACTAGCTATATTTTTATATCTGGATTACATGAATTTAATGCCTAGTGAAATTAAAACGAGTACCTTTCTACCTCAGTTTAAAAAATGTTTAATACAATTTATTTCCAGTCCGTAAATTAAATTAACTAAATTAACTTTGTATGTTTACTTTAATATGTATTTATTTTAACTCAAGTACTAAATGTCTTACTTTTATTACTAATTCTATCAAAATTTTTTTAATAATTGTAAAAGTGTTAATCATTAAATACTTTTCATACGGAACTTATTGAAGGAAAACTGTTCCATTTATTGTACCTGTTTGTAAAGTTTTCCCCAATTACAAATTAAAATGCCACGTAACACTAATGATCATAGAAAACTATAATATCTACTTTTTTTTTTGTATAAAATTCATTTATCTGTATTGTTAGTTATTTTTTATAATGACTACTGCCCTTGAAATCGTCCGTTTTGTTTTTAATTAACCCTGAATTTGATATAAAAGAAACCTGAACCTTACGGAAAATATATCTAATTTTAAAATGTATGGATTATTCAGATATTCGATATTTTAATCTCAGAAAGATAAAGTTTATTTCGGGCATTTTATTCTGCCTTTTACATACGCGCGATGAATATTTCATATTGTCTATATATGTATATATATTTTTTCGACACGTTAAAATCGGTAAAACAAAAGATGCTCTAATGCTCGTATAGTGGCTTTAAATTATTCAGAATTTCTTCAAATCTTGCTGTTGGATGTTGTTCGATTCGAATGAGAACTCTAAATAATTTTAAAAACACTAGATACTGTACACTGTACCTATATTTTATTTATTAACGTCTCTATTTATAATTTGTTTGCATTATTTTTTCTAAATACAACATAAAATAAGATGATCAATCGTGAAAAAGAACTTTTTTATCATTATAAAAGATGATTACCTACTTATCTATTTACAATTTTTATCTGGACATAACTATTCAAAAAATTGATAATAATATAAAATAAATATCGAAAATATTAATTACAATTTGCGCCCGACCGAGGTGTCGGTTTTGGTTAAATTTTCGGCCTGTTTCGGCCTAAAATAAGAGTTTCGGCTATAGTTTTGGAATCGGCGGAAATATGGCTAAAGCTGGAACAGAAACTACTTTCGAGAGTTTGAGAATCACGCTTAGCGACTTGCGGCACAACGGCGAGTGAGTACTGCGTTAAAGTACTCATGAGTACTTCACAATAAGAATGAGTACTTATAAGAATAATACTCAAAGCAAATGAGTACTTTTGCAAATTTTATGGAAAACTCGTACGTGGCAACATACCAAGCACCATATTTTAAAACATTTTAAAATTAAAGACAATTCACCTAAACTATTTAATGTTGAGACTAAATATATATGATGAAAAATATCCTGGAATTTCTTCATCTCCAAATTTTAATTTATCTGCAAAATACAACGTTAAACATCATATTGTAACTGAAGGAAATTTACCTTTCTGTAAAACTAGACGTTAAGATCCTAAAAAGTATAAAATTGCCAAACAAGAATTCGACCAACTAATCGAATTAGGCATCAGTTTCTGCTTTGTACATGGTAACCAAAAAAGATTCAAATGATTGGAGACCTTGTGGAGATTACAGATTTTTAAATAAAGTAGTTAAATGTCATGGTTGTTCAGGCCTATCACCAGATTCCAATGACAGAAGAAGATATTTTTAAAACAGCAATTACCACTCCTTTCGGATCTTTTAAATTTCTTAGAATGCGTTTTGGTTTGCGAAACGCTGGCAAAACATACAACTCAACATTTCAAACATTTGGATATTTTACTTAAAAGATTAGACTCTCGGCATTAACGTTAAACCATGTAAATGCATTTTTGGAGTGAAAAAAATTCATTTTTTAAGTTTTACTATTTCAACAGAAAAATAGAATGCATTAAAAATTTTCCTAAGCCTGGTACTGTCAAACAATTACAAATTTTAGCACCTTTACATGATTTTATAACTTTTTTAGACAAAACTAAAATGAAAATAATAGAAGATTTGCCAAAAGATTATGAAGGTAAAGAAGCACTTACTAAAGCATCTTTTCTGGCTCATTCTTTAGAGGAAGATATCCTATCACTAACAACAGATGCTAGTAATTCCGGTGTTGGTGTTGTTCTTAAACAAGAGGTAGATGGTTTTAGAGAACCCAGTGCTTTTTTCAATCAAAATCTCAATTTAATTATAGCGTTTTTGATAAAGAATTATATGCAATTTATCTTTCAATCAAACATTTTGGATATATGTTGGAATCAAAAGATTTTAAAGTGTTTTGAGATAATAAATCATTAGAAAAAGCAAGCAGATACATCTCCTAGACAATTCAGATATATAGAATATATTTTACAATTTACTCATAAAATTTTTTACGTAGTTAGTAAAAACGTAATTTAGATTTTATTTCAGTAGAAAAAGAATCGGAATTAGATTAAAAAATAGTAGGAAACGAACAAAAATAAGATTTAGAATTAAAAGGCTTATTAGAGAAACAAAATCATAATAATAATAAAAACAAATTTTATTTACAAAAAGTTCAAGTTAACTTCACAACAGCAGATATATGGTGTGAAAATACTAATAATACTTTAAAACCTTACATTCCTAAGTCACAACGTTATAATATTTTTATTAAGTTACATAACGTGGCACACACAGGAGGTAAGAGCACTTTAAAATTGATAAAAAATGGATATTTTTGGCCAAGAATGAGCAAAGATATATACTCATGGTCAAAATCTTGCATAAATTGTCAAAAGGTAAAATTTTCTAAATATACAAAATCACCAACAGGTGAATT